TATTTAGAGAGCTTCTTTTCCTTTTTAAACATTTTACTTCCAACGATCCCAAAGATATACAAAATCAGGCAGAACAGTTACAAGAGCCCCCGGGGTACCGGTCACATGGCTTCAACAATGACAGAATACTGGCCCATCATACCTCATCTTTCTCCCCATGCATTCTGTCCTCCCATTTCACTCTGCTGCAAATCCCAGACACCTCATCATCTCCCCTGTAAACATATCAAGAAGTATTCCCTGAAGTATACACACTCAGAACCCCTTTTCTAAAAAATTGTGGCCAAACGCCATTGTCACACCAAAATATGGTGTCACTTTTGTGTTCATGTAATCACTGATTTCTGGCTTCATTATCCCATTTCTTATGTGATAAAATCTAACCAGAATTTGAAATATTTCTCCAGATATGCTTAAATAAAAATTCAAAAAAATAAATAAATAGGGTTAGACTTAGAGATTTACTTTAACTCTTCTTTTAAAATTCTAAATTATGGGGCACCTGAGTGGCTCAGTGGGTTAAGCCTCTGCCTTCGGCTCAGGTCATGTTCCCAGGGTCCTGGGATTAAGCCCCGCATCGGGCTCTCTGCTCAGCAGAGAGCCTGCTTCCCTTCCTCTCTCTGCCTACTTGTGATCTAACTGTCAAATAAATAAATAAAATCTTAAAAAAATAATAAAATAACATAAAATAAAATAAAATTCTAAATTAGTCCAGTTGTTTAATCTCTACTAAATATGATATGAGAATTGCATCCGTAGAAACTGAAGCAATGGGGCCCTTTTTATTCCTGATCTTCTTCAAGCAGGGAGGCAGGCTCTTAGGAGGCTGGATGGTTCACTTCACTTCCCAAAAGAGGAGAAATAGGTGGACAGAGACCAAGGGGTCCCACACAGCTGGCCCGTGGCACAGGGAACATCTGAACTTGGGTCTGTCCCCCTTTCAAGTCTAGGCATTTCTACCTACACACACAGGTAGCTTCCTCATGGTAGGATTGTTAAACTCCCAAGGAGAAATGCTTTTTCTCACTCCTGGCCCATTATCAGACTTGAAGAATGTTGGCTGGAACCTGGGCCAGCCTTTAACACCCCCACTGTACAGATGAGGACATAGAGGCCTGGAGTTATGAAGTCACTTCCCAAGGCCATTCAAGCCAGGGAGCTCCAAGGCCAGGAACAAAAATCATATTTTACATCTTTGAGGCAGTACCCTTTCTCTGCTCCTGCCTTATCTCTGGGTGGAATCGTTCCAGTCCTCTTCTTCCTGCTTTCGTCCTTTGCTTAATAACATGTTAGAACATCCAAAGGCCGACAGCATTTGGGAAGCTCTTGTAACAGCAGGACACAAGCACCAAAGGTCACAGTCAAAGTCATTCCAGCACTCCTTGCTGTGCCCCTGAAGTGTATCACAAGAGCACGTGCCCTTCCCATGGACTGCTTAGCAGCATGTGCTATATTACTGACAAGCCCGAAGAAAACCAAAGTCCTGTTTCAAGAGACTACAGTAATAATCTACTTATATATCATAAAACTAAGGATGCAGGAGTGACAGAATTCCAAACGGAAGGCAGGGGCACGGAGTCGGTGTGAATACGTTACTGTACCTATTCAGTTCACAGGGCTACAAGCTGAACATTATGCCATCAACGAGAATGTGTGTTTCCAGCATTTCCAATTTTTATTTTTTTTGTTCACAACCACCCTCTGAAGTCGACAGAGCAGGTTTATAACGAGGAATGACGCACTGGTTTCGTATTTTTTCACCATGCCAGTTATAATGCCCAGACAAGGAAAGCATGTATTTCCTGACCACTTGGCCGGGGCTGGGACCTATAAGAAAAATACAAGGAACAGTTCTTGTCCTCCAAGAGCTTACAATCTGATTGAAGAGCTGTGACCATCCCCTTCACACACCATTAAACTATTAAGAGAATGAGCCCAGGCAACCAGAACTTTTCAGAGAAGACAGAAAGCAGAGTAGCTAACCTAAACCTATTCCGCAATCTTTCTTCTAGCTCTGAAATGTGGTCATCAGGTCTGAAATTCCTTGGAAGGGTGGGGAGATATGTACAGACCAGCTGACAGAGACTATTTATAACCAGCAGAGGAGAATGGACATATGTGTGCGTGGCGCACTGAAACGGGGGCTGTATTATGTAGTGCATCTTTACAATGCCACCCGGAGCCTGAAAAGCACATGAAACTTTTCTTCCCCAAAAGACTGAATGTTTAATGCCTATGTCTTAAAAACACACTCTTGAAATTAGGTCTTCCAGAGTGATTACAGAATCTAATTCTTGACATCAAGCTGAGGCTTTCTCATTCATTGTTGTGATGCACTGATTCATTTCTATGACTTTGTGTTTATTGTTACTAATGTCACGTCTTTTTCAAAAGCCCATAATCACATATTTGATCAAGTTCACCAATGTTCACACTTTCTTATAAAAATAGTCAAACTTCAACCAGCTTCTAACAGGAACTGAGCAGAGTCTTAGAAAACTGAAATAAGGAAATCTTTAGAATTCTGTTATTCCTTATCTAAAATAGTTCTGATTCTGAAATGATACTATGTATCACCCAACCCCGTTATACTCCAATTAAAAACTCCAGTAAAATGATCAAAAGTGAAGTTCGCTAAAAGTCTAGATTTTAATACCTAATTTTAAAGAAAAATTGGACTGAAATATTATAAATGATTAAACACAAATTACTACATTCCATAAATAATGAGGTCATAATACATTCCATTAAACACTGGGCTGCTTCTTTTAAAGCTTTACTGTAAAAGAGAACAAAATTATATCTGCCATATATTTAAGAAGTTCATACAAAGGTAAGGAAAAGAATAAAATCAAGTTTCTACTTCCCTTCAACATACACAACCTAAATGAGGGTTAAAATATTAAGAGCAGCTCCATTCACAAGGAGGAAAACTGATTTTAATGACTAAGAGTTAAATAAAACCTACGAACCTACCATTTTTCCTGTCCTTATTTGAGGGCAGTAAATACTTTCTATAAAGAAAGTAGCATGAGGTTCGTATTCACAATGGAAAACCCCTAGGAATCCTGGCTTTTGTTTTTTGTGCATCTAAATCTTTCATGCAAACCTTACCTTACAACTGAAAACGGACAGTAAAGGGGAAGTATCCTGACATCATCAAAGGTTCCCAGAGCTGGCGGTAATGATGACCCATTGTTGCTCTGAGCAGCGGCACAATTAGGACCCTCTGGCTTCTGTGCTTCCCTGCCTTCCTCCAACACGCGTGACTCGAGTAGATTTACTGCTACTCGAGTTGAAGAACATCTTGTGAAATAAAAGCAACCATGTGGGATATACCACTTTATCGTTTTTCCATCAGCAATTGAAAAAGGCTATTATCCTCTGTGAATGGGACACTGTGGTCTGTGTGGTGTGTCCAACTTAAACACGGGGTGTGTAGAAATTTACCTGCAGAAACTGATGCTCATGCGCTTGGATTAGGAAAACAGAAATTCCCAAGAACTTAAACAAATCCTTCCCATGTTAGGTCCAACAGCAAAGGTAAAAACTACTTGGTCTGGAAGACGTAGAGTTTAACTTGATTGAGTCAGGCTAGAAAATCCAGGCGGACACAAGACTTGTTCCTGCGGCACTGTCTACAAGGAGCAAATGGTAGCAGTCGCTACTAACCGGTTTCTTCTACCGTGATGCTCCGCAGCCTGAGTGTCAAGTTGGCCCTAAGTGGGGCGGCAGACATGTCCCGCCCAGAGCGGGGAAGGCGTGTCACCGGCTGACATACTCCACAGCATTCACTGCGGAGCTACAACAATCGACACGGACTATAAACCATTTCAGACACAGACTGCACGTGAATAAAAGAACTTAATACCATGACGCCATTCGCCCTGCCCCGGATTGCTCGGGCATGGGGAAGTTACTGCAGAAACCCTCTACATGCTACCATCAGGATTCATGCCCTCGGTTCCCCACCTATGAAGTCCCTCCAATCCAGCAGCATCCTAATCCCTTGAACCCCTCGACTGGGGTCCCACACCAACTCACGCACACAGATTTTTACAAGTGAAATTTTATCTACATTTAAAATGTCTTCTGGTTGCTCACTTACAAAACACGGCCAATGTTGTGCTGTTTGTGGTAAGAGATATGTTAATAAGATTAAGATGAAATATTTACTTAATTCATCCTTGTTCCGGTCACCTTGTGTGCCTCAGTGGTGGGGGGTTAGTAACACAGGGAGGCAGTGGGCCCTCGGGCACACGAGCAGCGCTTTCGCACGTAAATACGAAACATGGTCAGCCAAGGCCGCACGCAGTCACATTGCCCTTATTACAATTTCAACTACGAAAGCTACAGATGTTAACAATTACAAAATCACCCATGTCCTTTTAAAAAAGAAATCTGGCTATGCTCTTAAGTCTTCGTATTTTCAATTTTCAACTCAATCTTAAGTCCTCAAATTTCAATGTTAATTTGTCAATTTTGCTATGTATTGTTAGATAAGCCTTCTTTTGCTTTACTCGCATTTCAAACTCACCGACCTGAATTGCGTCAACTGTCGTCTAGTCCTCGTGGTACACAAAAGGGTAAATACAAATGTCAAAAGAGAAACAATGCAGCAAAGAGGAACATTCCCATACCTGTACCCTGTAACCTCCTAAGAAAGAAGCAAGCCATTTTGGCATGGAGGATATATTCCTATCTTATTTTTTAATAATTCCTCTTTGCTTTGGATTTTTATTAGCTTTTCAAAAACCTCACTAACTTAAATAAAACCATATGGTTCTTATAAGGTCACTGTGCCTTCCTAGTTTCAGGAAGTTGTCTCTTCCAAGTTAGTCATGGCTGAGGCTACAAATGGACGAGAATCAACCAGTCGCAGATGATCGTGAGTCGAGAGAAACAGCACAGGCAAGTGAAAGTCAGCAAACGTCTGGATGCTCTGGAAACGACAGCCGTGCTCACGGAGAGAAGAGGGTGGGGCATTGTGGGAAACTTACCCCTTGTTCAGATTCCAAAAGCTCGGTTTTGACTCTGACTGACGGCATCCCATCAAGCATTAACATTCTGTTCTCAAAGGTGTTGATATTCTGAGAGGAAGGAGAGAGAGGGAAAGTCAGCCATAAAGCATTCCAATGAGGACGTCTGGTAGACTCTTCCTTCATGGTAGTACATTTAGTACTGCTAACCTAATTTTTTTAAAATGAAGTATAATTAAATGAGACTATCAGCATAACCAATTATCCCCCCCATTCTGAACTATCATTTGAAATAATGACCACGAAGTTGAATTAATCAGTCTGATTCTCTGACCTCTGGGTTAGAGGTCAGACTATAATAAACTGGAGTAAAGAAACCTTAGCATTAATTTATATGGGGCTGGAAAGATTCATCACACTTTTGCAGTGGTGGAAGGAAAGAGAAGGATGTTTATCTCTTCCTTAGTTCCAGAGGTTGCATGTGTGCAGAAATCCACAAAGGAGAAAATAGATAAAAAATGACCATATCCTCACATTATTGTCAAAATCTAAATAATTTTAAAAACAAGATAATATAATTCTAGACACTGAATTTTGGTATGGCACTTCAGATCAAATGAAAATTTCTATGTATTGACCCCAAACATTTATTTCAAAAACAACTCATATAAATTTTTAAGCTCAAGTCACAACCAAAAAATAAATAACAGTTTGTTTTCTACTTTGGTATATGTTTGGCTGAAGTTACCACTTCTTGAAAGGAGAACTTCTACTTATTTCTATAGTGACTCAGTAGAATTTCAAACAATATTTACAAAAAGATTAAATCGAGGTTATTCTCTACTAATTTTCACTGCTTTGGGGATTTTCTAAAGTCAATAACCTATGAAGAGAGTTCAAAAGACACTTATGATTGCTTGCTTCAGGCCAAAATCCTGTTTTAAAACACATTTAAGAACGTCAACTTTCCCTTCCCCTACTGACCAAACTCAGAAACTGAAATGACTAAGTTTGAGTTTTTAGACTGGTTTCTTTGCTCAATCATAGAACGTAAGCACAGGACTCTAAAGTGGGCTCCTTAAAAGAAAAAGAGATCTGTTTCTAAATATTTTGCTTGCCTTTGATGACAAAGATTAATACCATTTCTACACCTTCAGGTTTTTGCCTCTCACATGGCTGCTTTTCTATCAAGTAGTTAAATAAAAACAACTCCCACTTTGACAAATCATGTTTTTATTACCAAATAATACCAACAGAGTGCAGTATAGTAAAGCTCTAATTATCTCTATTTCTTGCCAATCCTTTTCAAGAAAAATAAGAAATAAAATTTATAGGGCCTCTTATCACACATATTTGTCCTGAGACATCAACAAGAAGAAAAGGCAAATTTACTCCAGAGCTAACTAATGAGCATTTAAAAATTCCATGCTACCTAGTCTATTAGGTAATAAAAAGAAGAAAAACTACTGTCAGGTTCTTTTCTTAGAAATGTGCAATAGTATTAAAACTGGCAGGATGCATTTTTTTAAATTTGTGCTTTTGACTTGTCCATATTTTTTAGGCATTTTGCATCCTAATAGCTTCAAGCAGAAAGAACTGTGGTCTCCCTGGCAAGCTCAGTTAATTTGTTCCAAGCTTTAAATCCTTTCATGGAGGCTGGTGGGTTGTTTACACATCAGGCATGGATCTCAAATCCTAATGTGTCACTTGCTTCCGTGGTTGGAAGCGGCCAGCTTGGCTTGCAACCACCCAGTTTTAAGAAAGCCTTCCTGCAGTCTGCCAGCCCTCCACACCCCTGCCCTTTCGCAGCAGCCAGAACTCTCCCCTAACAAAGCCTCCCGTAGGCTGTTTGGTTGGTAGACAATGAAGAATGAGTTGATATTGCTTCCTACCCTGGAGGAGGTCTTGCCCAGAGGAAAAGGGGAAGATGCCTCGCAAAGGCAGGGAAAAGACAAAGAGCGGTTCTGGAAAGACAGGTTTAATGAACTGTTGGAATCTGATTAGAGGCTAATGTCCCTTTCAGTGCTCTGTACCAATTTACAGCTGATAGACTTTAACCATTCTCCTCACAGGCTGTGATAAACTCATTAGTTTAAAAAATGCAAGCTAACCAGAGTCTTTGAAGTTAAAAACTGATAAATCATGAAAACCTGACTCAGCCCATGTTCCATTTAGCACATTTAAATATCACTGTATTTTCATGATTTTTTTTATTGTTCCTCTTGAATAAGCCTATGTATGTTAAAGATAGGATGTAGATGTTAGTTTCCTATAAAAGTGGAAAAATAAAACGCCTCTTGAGAGTTTTTTTAAAGAAATTAAGTTTTCCCTCAAAATATTTCTCTTTCCATGATTTTCCAGGATCAGCCACAGCCCCAACTATAATAAACACCATGAATAATAGTGTTCACAGCTAAGAAACCAATCCTTAACTATTAAACTCAACTAGCGCAGATTCAATTTATATATATATGTCTGAAAGTGATATTATAAATTTATATAAAGCATATTCATCTCTACATTCATGATTCCAGCCCTGTTTAGTATAAACATAAGCACCGAGCATCACACCATATTCCAGACCATTCAGGAAAGGATATGGGTTTTATGGAGCACATGGTAATTGTATAGCATTGAGGATATAGTTCCTGGGACAAAATATCAATAGATTTATCTCCCTAAGCTAAAATCAGATACATACAATCTCAGTTGACTGTAGACTTTAAATATGTAATAACCTTTAATAATTCGCAATTGCTGTCAAGCATATCTTGCCATGATCTTAATCAAACCACATTTGCTGTGGAATCAATAGCTCAACTGATTCCCAAGAGGTAAATAAAATTACACAGTCATCAATTTAAGGAACATCGTACTCTTTGTATGTTTGGTTGTGATGAACATTTTGATATTATACAACCTTGTATAATTTAATTTGTGTATGTATACATTCATATACACATGTACACACATGTGTATACACTCACACTGCATGCTTCGTATGAGTACACTTTATTAATTAAAGTAAAAGGTAACCATTAGCTTTATTAGATGGCCGTTGACCAACCACATGTACACTGAATGAGAACAGTACTCTGGACTATCCTTTCTGCCGAATAAGATTTGGCAACACAGAAGTCTAGCTGATGGTAGCTCACTTAGTCAAAACTAGGACAAGCACAACCTTCAATCAAATCCTAACATCTCAAAATATTTTGAATGGAATGGCCAGGAAACATAGGGACCGATGTTCAATGATCATCTCATAAAAACAGAATGGGGTGGGACTTCCCCATGGCAACTACTAGAATCTGTCCTCCTATTCCCAAAATGCAAGCCTTTTCTTCACCTTCTTCCTGATTGTGGGTCATCCGGTTCTTTGGAGAAAACATAACTGTTTTATCATAGCCCCCAAACTTGTGCTGAAACACAAAAGAGTGAAATTCATCTTGTTTTATACAGGTAAAGATCAACAAACCTAAAAGATTAGAATCAGGCGGAGCCAACAGGTTCAAATATCGATCACTATACAACAAATCACATCGCAGAATAAAAAAAATCACTTTATTGTTATCTTAATAAAAAAACACAATAACAACACATCATATTTGCATATCTATTAAGGACTAGACCTTGTGCTAAGGGATACTCATTTAGTCCTTACAGTAACCCAAGAAGTCAATGCTATATTCTCTGAAGATGAGACATCTGAGATATAAGGAGGTTAAACTGTCTAAGGCCTCAACATTACCAAGGGAGTACAGCTCTATTCCAAACCAATTCTCTCTCTCCCCATCCCCCATTCTTCCTCCTTCACTCCCCTCCTCCCTGCTCTACTCACCCCTCCCCATCTCTCTCTGTCTCTTTCTCTCTCTCTCTCCCATCTCTCCCTCTCTCAGGAACTCTGGAATCTCCATTAACAGCTCCTCTCAGGACTAAGCTAATTTAGTCAGTGAATTAAATGTGCAAATTCTGGTCACTGGTGAGTATCAACATTTTGGGGAATATCAGTAAGAGGTCAAATAAGCCCATGGTTTCAAAGCTATTTCCTTTTTTTCCTTTAAATTAAAGTTTCAACATATTTTCTTGCCTTGATGAGATTATGCATCCTATCCTAGAAATACCTCATCATTAATTTAGCAAGTCAATCCCATCCTGATTTCAACACCCACAAAAATCTATGGTAAACTCATCTGCTATCCAGTGTTTTGAAAATATCTGTATACCCTTGGTGGCTCATTCAATATTTACACAACAGTTTCATGCACTTGGATGATACAAGAACTTCACCCTCTACATTTGATACTCAAGGAGATACACCTGGGCATCACATTTAATTTATAATCTCTTAGATTAAGTGTAAGAGTGTATTTTTCTAAGCTCACATATCCTCACAATGATCAATCAATCTGGTGCAAGGAGTATGCATAATGAAAGCACCTCTCATGATACAAAATAAGTATCAGTTCAAACGTACTTTGCCATTTTGTCCCAGACTTTCACCTTTCATTGTTTTGCAGCATGGGAGAGAGGATGTCACATTGATGACCGTATCAGTACAACTAAGAACTCAGCTAGGCCTGCTGGAACTCTCGACTTAAATCCCCTCCAGTGGTTGCGATGAGACATATATACATTATTTTGAACTATCTGTCTACAGTCTTAAAAAGACTCTTCCACAAATTCCTCCCACTGAACCATGGAATTAGGTCTGTCATAAGGACTGGTAAAACTGTACTCGCCACGTGGCAACTTCTATTTTCCCGATAGCAAGGATCATTGTTTCCTATGTTGGCAAATGCTTAATTACCACAACAATGCAGTTCATGCTGAAATTTTAGAAATGTCATCTGAGAGTCCAAGTAACACTCTCCACCCCCGCATTAATACAAAGTGTAACAGAAAGTTAGTTTTGTCATTCATATTCTGAAGAACTGCACACCGTCGGGGGTTGTCAGTTAACCAGATCTCTCCATAGACAGGGAGTGAGGGTCTCTGCTGCGCCAAAGTCACCTCCTTCCATCCACGCCACATCTGTGAACCATGAGGCACTGTGGCCAATAACAGGGGCAAGCCAAAGACTGAAGAACAGAAACCATGTAAAAAACAAA